ATGGAAATAAGTTCAGAACAATTCTTAGATTTAGCTTATAATAACCAAAAAAGCTTTCAGAATGGGCTTGGAAAAAATTTCTAGATTTGTTTCTTTTGCTTCATATGCTATTATTTTAATGAGGAAATTGTGGTTCATGAACACAAATAAGAAGATTTAATAAATATCAGGATATCTTATGGGCAACAAATAGCAACATTTGCACTTTAAAATAAAGCTTTAGTGAATAGTTCATCAAAGTAAAAATGCAGTAAGTAGTGATGGCCTCTGGCTTATTTTAGCAGGTGACTTAGTGAAAGCTTGCATTTGCAAAACTCTTGGTATCAGTCTTCAAAGACCGACACACACACACAAAAAAAAAAACAAGACAGTATTCAAATGGAATTCTGAGGGACAAAAATATAATGGAATTGGAAAGAGAGAGTTTAGTTTTATTAGATTGTCAAGAAAATAAAGTGCAGTGAATTTCAATATACATTTAATCATCAGTGAAATTTTAAATTAATAGTATTTTAAATGTTCTAATCCAAATTTATTATTTCTTTGGCATATTTTAGGGTAATGGAGCAAAAAATTATTTCTTTCCCCTAAATCCCACAGCTTTAAGGACCAATCTCTTAGCAGCAAAGGAAATTCTTCATTTACAAATAAATAGTTGCAGTTTTCTGAATTTTATTTTTGCTCAGGAGACCTGCATACTTAAGAGGAAGGAATCTAGATGAGAACAGTATTTCTGCCTATCATCTGATGAATACCTATGTCTGTTATTTCTGTAGCTATTTCCAGATATTTTTGCCACTTTTGAAAAATATGCATTTATCCACTGCATTAGAAAAAAAACTTGGCATGATTTAAATTTCTTTAAAAATCTGATTATAGCATTAACTTATAAAAAATTGCATATTAAAATTAAACTCTAGCTGGGTAATAAAATTTATGCTATGATTCTAATTCTCCAAAAAAGATAATTAAATAGATTCATAATTTTTGTGTGGGCATTTTCCAGTTGGTACCTCAAGGGAATAGAACTGGAGCTGGTGGCTGATTACAGTGCCACTGGCATGGGGTGGGGCAAGGGATGGGATTCAGAGGGAACAGGAATTGGAGATGTGGAGTGGTGCCAGAATGACATTCCAGGTACCAAATCAGTCACTTTGTAGCTAATCAACCGTGGAACACCACTGCAAAATAAGGATGATAATACCCACTTCCCAGAAATAGCAGGAGGGCTACAGGAAACCATGTGAAGAACTGTCACAGCAAGTATTCTGCAAATGAGTTATATCGTGGGAAAGAGTAGGGGATAATAGGACAAGTCAGTTTTGTCCTCCCTGTCCCTAAACACACCAAACCATTTGGTCAGGGATGATTTGTGTACAGGACAGAAATTTATCAGAATAGCTATATTAATGAAGATGTTTTTAGCTGTGACTGGATGCAACTTGTTTCATTTTAGAAACAAAATGAATTTATGGGCTCATGTAACTAGAAAGCCTTAGAGGTACTTAAAATACTTCATTGGGAATCTTTGTCACTCAGAATCTCTCAGCTTTGCCCGCCTCTGCGGTGTCTTCATGCTCAGGTAAGCTGTCTCCAAGTGTGGCAAGAGCGGTCCTAGCAGCTCCAACCTTATAAGGTCCGTTGTGTTTGACATCCCAGTACAGAGACTCTCGCAGTTCTCTTCTATCAGTCCCCTCAAAATGATTCTGAGTCACCTGGAGAAGCAAGGACAGTTCCTAAGATGACACCATTCAAAAGATGACAGGACAGATGAAATGTATCAGATATCTAATATACTGGTTCAAGTGAAAATAGAGCTTATTCTTAAAGAGATAAAGAGGAATCTTATAGATACCAAAGGGCAGGAAATAAGATACAACTGGGCCACAGAGGGATTGGATCTGGAAAGTCTGACCAAGGGCTATATCAGGTTGGGTTCCCCAGTTTTATGTTCCCATAGCATTCTGAACTTTCCCTGTCATAACATTTGTGAAACTTCATCATGATCAGTTTCTACCGCTCTTTCTTATAGGACTTCAAGCCCTATGAAAGCAACAACTTTTATTGTCCTATTTGCTGTTAAATCCTCAAGAAATATTTGGTTTTTTTGTTTTTTTGTTTTTTTTTTTTTGCTCAAGAAGTATTTGAATGGATACATAGATAAATGAGGCTGCCCTCTTCATTTCTTATGGTACTAGATAATCTGTCATCCTTGCGTGCTTGTTCCATTCATCTGCTTCTTTGTGCGATGCATAGGCCCTTCTGTTCTCTCAAGTTATGGTTGTCATTGGTTTTGTCCTGCTGTAGCAATGATTTGGTCCTGATCTTATATGTTCTTTGGCTCCAGAGTCTCTCAGTTTCCCGATTTCAAATTTAATAAAGAGAATAAAGTCAGACACATCTGGGTCTGGTGTCCAGGCCTTATCTTCAGATCAAGGGTGAGGGGGATGGGTTGTCATAGGCTATAAAAGGTTGTGTAAACCCAGCTCTTCAGCAATAGCTCTAGTTATAAGTATATTCATCCATCAACACTCAAGTGTTCTTCTTTTTCGAGAGAAAAAGTGATACAATAAATCTGTCTCAAATCAGACTTAAGTATGACATATCCCAGTCCTTAAAAGTCCTCCTATTCTCTTAAATAATGTAAGTGGCCTAGCATCTTGAATATAATCTAAGTCTAATGTAGACGGTATCTAGATCTTTCTCATAACTATGATACTTCCTGTCATCTATTTATATACTCACTCAATAAGTAGTCCTTGCAGTAGATTCTAGATTCCAATCTCTAGAAGTGGAGGAAAACACATATGAAGTAAACGATGTTGACTGTATCCTTGAGAACCTTATAAGGGAATTGTTCATTCATTCAATCAATATTGATTGAACTTTGAGCCCCTAGTATATGTTTAGGAGCTATGCAGAAGCTGGGGATGAACAAGATGGACAGTCCCTGATCATACATGCATACACATTAATGGGAAATATAAATAATTAAAATAATTATTATAATATGCCAGATCTGTGGTAGAGTGAGAAGATGTAAGGAGGAAGACAAGAAGGGACCTAACCTCAGCTTGAGCACTAGGGAAGCCTTCCTGAGAAAGTGGCCTACCAATTTCCCAATGGGCATGGCAAAGAGAGAATTGGAGGAAAGAGTATTCCAAACAAGGAATGTCATGTGCAGAGGCTAGAGGAACATAAAAAATACACACATAGACACACGCACACACAGTTGATAGTACCCAGGGTTTTTAGAGAGTCATTTTCAAGAAAATGATATTCTATCATATATTGTTTACTGTGCTTTCCTCATTTAACTATACATATTGAAAAATCCCTCCAAATCAATTAGTAAAGATCTCATTCATTCTTTTAACAGTTTGCAGAGTATTTCATGTTGTAGATGCACTTTAGCTTGTTCAGCTATTCCTGAATGGATGGGTCTTTCTTTGTTTCCATCTTTGCCACTAAAACAATGTTACATAAACATCCTATACTGGAAATGTTTGCTTTGTAGGATTGTTGCTGTTGGGCCTAAGATGTGTATTTTAAATTTTAATAGACAAACCTGTTGTAGTGTCAAAATACTATAACAGTTTGTATTTTTACCGATTTGTTTGAAGGTAACTTTATATGGGATCTTTAACAGCAGGAGATATCATCACCAGTTTAAATTACTGTTAATTGATTATTACTTTGGATTTTAAAAAGATTTTATTTATTTATTTAAGAGAGAGAGAGAGCATAAGCAGGGGGAATAGCAGGCAGAGGGAAGGGAAAAAGCAGGCTCCCCATTGAGCAGGGAGCCCAATGTGGGACTCAATCCCAGGACCCTGGGATCATGACCTGAGTTATAGGCAGCTGCTTAACTGACTGAGCCATCCAGGCGCCCTTGGTTATTACTTTAGTTATATTTCCCTGACTTCTTTGGAGGCTAAACATCCTTTCATATGTATACTAATGATTTTATTTGCCTTTCTGCAAATTATTTGTTTGTATTCCTTTCCCATTATGTTTTCATGAATTTCTATGAGATCTATATTTAAGATATTAATCTGTTATAAATGTGCAGGGTTTTCTTGAGACACAGAACCAATAAGATAGATGGATGATAGATTAGATGGATAGATGATAGATAGATAGATAGATAGATAGAGTAATTTATTACAGGAATCACTCACATGTTATGGAGACTAAGAAGTCCCATGATCTGCTCTCTGCAGGAGAACCAGTGGTATAATTGAGTTTGAGCCCAAAGGTTAGGAGGTCCAATGTCTAAAGGCAGTCATGAACATGTCAGCTCAAGAACAGAGAAAGAATTTGCCCTTCCTCTCACTTTTTGTTTTATTTTGGCCCTCCAAAGTTGGATCACTTCCACCTACATTGGTGAGGGCAGTTCTTTCGTGTACTGGATTCAAATGCTAATCTCTTGTGGAACATCCTCACAGGTATACCCAGAAATGATGGTTTACGAGCTATCTAGGCATCTCTTGATGGTTATTAAAATTAACCATCACACTTAGATATATCTATCTTTACTTTTAGAGCTTTGGACTTTCTATTGGTTTAAAAAGTCTTCCCAACCCTTAAATTCCTCTTTATGAAAACATTATTATATTGTTTTTACATGTAAGTCTTTTATCCATTTTAGATCCTGTTTCAGGGTTGTATGATAGAGGTCTTTATTTCTTTCAGATGGATAATCAATGTTATGTTATTAGTTGTTTAAGCTATGCCTTTTTCACAGAATTGAAATGCTATCTTTATAATAGATAAATTCTTCTATATATTGTATGTATTTCAGTGTTTTTTTCTTCTGTTTCACTGATTTATTTGTCCATTTCTGTGTCAATACTATCTTGTTTAATTACAGTGGCTTTAGGGCCATTTTGTGGCAGCGAGACCTGCAAATAAAGGGGAGCGCCGGGGCGGCGCGGCCTGGCGGGCGGCCTGGGCTGCAAGCGGGCGGCGGAGCCTCGGTCTATGTGACTGGCGATTCAAGATGACCAACGAGCAGCCTCTTCCCAAAAAGGTTCGACTGAGTGAAACAGACTTCAAAGTTATGGCACGAGATGAGTTAATTCTAAGGTGGAAACAATATGAAGCATATGTCCAAGCTTTGGAGGGCAAGTACACAGATCTTAATTCTAATGATGCAACTGGGTTAAGGGAGTCTGAAGAAAAACTAAAGCAACAACAACAAGAGTCTGCTCGCAGAGAAAACATCCTTGTAGTGCGACTGGCAACCAAGGAGCAAGAGATGCAAGAGTGTACTACTCAAATCCAGTACCTCAAGCAAGTCCAGCAACCTAGCGTTGCCCAACTGAGATCAACAATGGTAGACCCAGCGATCAACTTGTTTTTCCCAAAAATGAAAGGTGAACTGGAACAGACTAAAGACAAACTGGAACAAGCCCAAAATGAACTGAGTGCCTGGAAGTTTATGCCTGATAGGTAAACAAATCATACTCCCCAGTCAAGACTTCCCTGACAGTCCCACTACGAGAAAGCTGTGGTGGGACAGCCAAGGACTCGTTTCCACACCAAGACTCAGACTTTTTGAGCCAAAAAAAAAAAGCCACATTCTTATACTATCCAGCTTGTAATGGTTAATGTAAAACTTACCAGATGAACCTTGTGTTTCAGCTTTTTTTTCTTCCCCTCCCCTTGCTTCAGAGGCCTGATGGCATCGGACTGTTCGGAAGAAGTGGCCACCTCCGAAAAATTCCCCTTCTAGAACATGTAGACACTTGAGAAATGTTTCTGTTTGAAGAAAATAGAGGGAGAAACAGAAGTCTTAAGTCTGTGGCACACTGTGTCTTCAGTTTGGAGGAATGAAAACCTAGAGATTTAAAATCATGAATTGAACATGTAAAATTCCAGTAAAATGTAAAAATGGAATATGCATCACTCTTAACCTTGAGCATAGTGACTTAGGGACACTGTATCTCAGGTTTGCCAGTAAGACTGTGGACTTCGTGATTGTTGTTGAACTTCTGGGTCAAAACTCAAATGGGCCAAACAGGCAAAAAGTTAATGGCGAAGTGTCGAATGCTTATCCAGGAGAATCAAGAGCTTGGAAGGCAGCTGTCCCAGGGACATATTGCACAAGTTGAAGCAGAGTTGGCTTTACAGAAGAAATATAGTGAGGAGCTTAAAGCAGTCAAGATGAACTGAATGACTTCACCATTCAACTTGACGAAGCAGTAGAGGGTATGCAGAGCAACATTCTAGTTCTTCAACCACAACTGAAAGAGACGTGCCAGCAGTTGGCTCAGTACCAACAGCAGCAGTCTCAAGCTCCAGCCCCAAGTACCAGCAGGACTACATCTTCTGAGCCTGTAGGACAGGCGGAGGCCACAGGTAAAGACTGCAGTCGGCTGGCCAACGGACCAAGTAATGGCAGCTCCTCCCGGCAGAGGACGTCTGGGTCTGGATTTCACAGGGAGGGGGACACAGCCGAAGATGACTTTCCTTCTTCTCCAGGGAATGGTAATAAGGCCTCCAACAGCTCAGAGGAGAGAACTGGCAGGGGGTAGTAGTTACGTAAATCAACTCAGTGCAGGGTATGAAAGTGTAGACTCTCCCACGGGCAGTGAAAACTCTCTCACACACCACTCAAATGACACAGACTCCAATCATGACCCTCAAGAGGAGAAAACAGTGAGTGGGAAAGGTAACCGAACTGCGGGTTCCCGCCACGTTCAGAATGGCTTGGACTCAAATGTAAATGTACAGGGTTCAGTTTTGTAATATTTTTTTCCAGCAAATTTTTATACAGTGTCATTTAATTTGGGAGAGGATACTGTCCAGAAAATTAACGCATACTTTTGTCACAATTTGCCTTTTTTTGTGGGTGTGGTTTTTTTCTTTCCCTTTTTCTCCCCCCTCTCTTTCTTTGCTTCAATACCTCTGCCACTTTGGAAATTCTAACAGTTAATTACCTTGAATGTTGCTAACAGGACATTTTGTGTAGGGTCAAGTTATTTTTATATGAGTTAATGTGAAGTCGTAAATGGAAATCTTTCCTTAAAGTATAACACAATGATGTCTGTATAAATCTGTGTCTGTCCTAGAACCTGTGTTGTGTAAGGGCATTCTTACTCATGCTGTTATTATACTTATGCACCATTCAGACTTGTTAGAGTAGATATGGGTTTATGACTGCCAAGTTTGCCCGGTACAGTAGTTTTATCACTAAAAGTTGGACTTGCTGATGGAGTCCTATAGTAGTTTCAGTGTTAGATACAGTTTTTTCCACCATACATCCGTGCATTTTCTCTTTAGGTGACTGAATGTTTAAGAAATTTGTGTGCATGGTTACTCAGTTTTTATGAACTGTTGTATCCTGTTAATGCATATTGCTCTGTGACTCCAGTATATCTTACCTGTACTGACCAAACCTAAATAAAGATTTTTATTGTAAAAAAAAAAATACAGTGGCTTTAGTATATATTTTTGTATCCACCAGTTAGACAAACTCTCCCCTTCATTTTCCTTATAAATAACTTTCCTCATTATTCTTGGACATTAATTCATCTATGCTGACTTTAATATTATATTATACAAACTCATTATCCTTTCAAAATTTCTTGTATATATTTATTTGAAGAGATTTGGCATTTTAACGATACTGTGTTCCTATCCATGGATATAAACTCAGAGCTATATATCATTCAATAACATTTTATAATTTTCTTCATGCAGGTTTTATGTTCTTGTTAAATTTATTTCTAAATGTTTTATTACCTTTCATTATCATTGTGAATGGAATATTTCCAGTAGCCACTGATAATGGAGGAAAAAACTAGTATATACTATTTACATTTATTATTTATTACATTTATTATGGATTCAGCCTTACTTTCATTTATTATGCATTCATCCACCTTATTATATGTCTTACTAAATTCTATTAGTGTTTTACTGGGGTCTCTTGGAATCCTTAGGTATACAGTAATGTCATCAGTAAATAGAAACCAAGTTTTTAATCTCTCCTTTTTCAGTTTATACTGGTTATTTCATTTTCTTGTCTTATTACATTTTCTAGAATCTTAAATAACAATGGTATTAATAATTAGTAATAATAATCTTAAATAATGAATAACGATGTTATCAAGCATCTTTATCTATATTTAATGAAAAAGTCTATCATTTTATAATTTTGAAATCATATTTTGTGATTAGCCTTGATAAGAAGTTTTTATCATATTCAAGTTGTTTCTTTTCATTGCTATTTTACCTAGAGTTTTTCTTAAGAATAGCTGCTGAGGGACACCTGGGTGGTTCAGTGGTTGTGTCTGCCTTTGACTCAGGATGTGATCCCAATCCCAGGATTGAATCCCACATCAGCTCCCTACGAGGAGCCTGCTTCTCCTTCTGTCTATGTCTCTGCATCTCTCTCTGTGTCTCTCATGAATAAATAAATAAAATCATAAAAAAAGAATAGCTGCTGAATTTATCAAAGTCTTTACAGCAACTACTGATAGAATCATCTGTCTTTTTCTCCTTTGTGTAAAGAATTATATGACAGGGGAGTATACTCTTTCAGTTTAGCATAACTATTTGATTTCAAGAATCTTTATTTAAGATAAATTTTACACATTTTGAGTTATTATCCATTTAAATTCATAAAATTTATAAAATCCATTAAATTTATATTATATTACATACTAATCCCTTTTAATTTTGAACAATTCTTGAAATCCCAGAATAAATACTACTTAATCAGAGGAAATTACTTTCTTTTGATACAATGCTGGAGTCTATTTGTTAATATTTTAAAATGAATTTTTGCATCTCATGTTTTATATTTTTCTTCAGAATTTTATATATTATCATTATCATATTTTATTCTTTCATCTCACTTTGGTAACATTAATTTTGTTCTAAGATTTCTTTATTCTTTTTCCTTATTTTTTGTGACTTGGTGATGTTACTTGATGAAGTTACTTCTCACCCCTGCCCCTTGTATTTAGAGGTTCTCCTGCAATTTTCCACTCAATTAGTAGTTATCCTTCTCCCAACACTAATAAATGCCTATTTATATATTATTGTGTGACAATAAGAGACTATTTCCCCCAATTACTCCAAGACTTTTGCCCCATGCAACAAGCATTTTTAGAATGTTTTTACTTTTCTCACGCTAGTCTCCCCCATATAAATGGAATATCCAGAAAACTTTTATCTTACCCCTTTCTTCACTACCACCTCACGTCCTTGATTTTCTGGAGATAATTTTTTACTTTCCAAACTATTAGGTTTTCACTTGTAGCATAACTGTTTTTTTCTCCTGAAATATCTTTATATAGGATATATTTTACACATTCCTGATTCTTGTCCATTTAAATTTAAGTATGCTGTTGCAAGGTTAAAATCACCTTTATCTTCATCTTTCTTTTTCTTGAGGTCTTCCTCCTTAATAATTTTGCTCTTTGGTTGTAGCTATATATCTAGTACTCTTTCAAACGGAAGTCACCTGAATTCCTTCTTTTTGGCAAATATCTTTCCTTTAACCTAGCTAGTTAGAGGAATCTTGGAGGACTTTAGGATTCTTGGGTTGGTGTCCTTTTCTCTCTAGATTAGGTGATAGTAATCTATTATTTTCTGGGCTCCTCTGTTATGTGTAGATGAGAAGCCAAGTCTTCCTAATATTTTGTTTTTAACTTCTCTTAAGTTAAGGCATTTTACTTGTATATGTTAAATGTATGCCCTGCTTGCAACTCAGCAAGCCCTTAAAATCTATTCTCTTCCATCAGCTCAGGGACATTAGTTTTCTTTTATGTGAACAACTACCATCTCTCCTCAATCTGTAACTGTTTTCCTGGAATTCCTATCATTTTTGTGTTAGTACCCTAAGTCTGTCTACCTAGTCTCATGTTTTCTTTCATAATTTCTAGCTCTTTGAATAGAAATTTTCCAGCGATTGCTTCCACTTGACCTTCCAGGTTATCCATCTGGGTTTCATTTTTTTAAAGTTTGAAAATCATAGATTTGTGTTCTCTATGTCTTTCTTTGGGAAGTGGAGGAAATGGTGAAATTGACTTCTCCCATGTACTGCTATAACTGTTGTTGGTAGTACCATTACTGCTGCTGGTGGTGGTGCTACATATACCTAGATATCTATATGTACCTCGCAGGTGCATATCTAGTAATAGCAGTAGTAGTAATGTAGTAATATTTTGGCTTGGGTTGATTGTTGTCTTCATTTGCAGTTCCATTTTGCTAGAAATCTTCTCTTCTGGATGTTTTTAAAAAAATATTTTGTTTACGTATGCATGAGAGACACAGAGAGAGGAGCAGAGACGAAGGCAGAGGGACAAGCAGCCATGTAGGGAGCCCGATGTGGGACTCGATCCTGGGACTCTGAGATCATGACCTGAGCAGAAAGCGGATGCTCAATCACTGGGCCACCCAGGCATCCCTCTTCTGGATGTTTTAACCAAGCTTCCTCTCCCTGATTCCTGTGTCATCCTTGGATAGATGTGTTGTTTTCTTCACACCATCACTGGGCTCAGGTCCTGCTGCTGGGCTACTAAACTTCTCTACTTCCACATCTCCTTAGCTTTAAAGGAAAATCCTTGGTTAGTCTCAGAGGCATGGAGGATTCAATACAAGAGAATTAATTATTATAGTCTTAATAGGAAATGCAGTTGAATGAAACTTAAACTAATGTGTTCATTTCTAAAAACTGAAGAGTAAGTACCAAATAATTTCCCATTTCATGTTGTTCTAGATGTACTACTGAGACTGCAATTAGGTTTTATCTGCATATTATGGACTCCTATATAAAGCACTGAACTCCAGGATGAGTTCGAGCCCAGCCTCCACAGCTAACAAGCAAGGATGGGCTGTTCCCTAACCTCAGCATGCCCCAGTTTCTGAATCTTTAACAAGGGATAAGAATACCTGTCCTACTTCCCTCATAGACTTGTTTTGTGACTAAAATGAGACATCAGAACAAATTTTAAAGTGGTGTGACATATAAGGTATTGACATTATCATAGGACTTCAGCTTAGAGTATTTTAAATACAAAAATTCTTTTTTATGTGAGGTTTCTATATTTTACACAACTATATTCTACTATTAAAGTCTTCTTGCTCCTTTGTGTTAGCCTGCAAATGAGAAAAAAAAAACTAATGTGTGCTAAGTTTTTACTATATGGCAAGAACACGTTGGTGCAGATTATCTTGAAAAAAGTAATGATTATCCACATTTTACACACAAGAAACATTAGCAAGTGCCAGAGCAAGAGTTTGAACCCAACTTTTTTGATTTCTGAGTCGTGTTGGTACTTGCTCTGCAATCATGCAGATTCACAACAATCGGTCCCTTCCTCTGACTTCCTCCATGCCCCACTGGTACGGTCTGTTCCACATTGGTTCATGTTTGTTTTGCACGGCTGTCTTAGAATTGCTCTCCAATTATTATCATGATGCCTCATCTTCTCAGTTATACCTTATCTTCATTATATGTCTTTCTCCACCTGTGCTTTCTCTCTCCCCTACCCTTGACAGGTAAACTTAGTGGATGCCTTTCTGTACTTGGTCTCTCCTTTTCTTCTCACTCTTTCTCCTCTCTAATTTGTATACTATTCTTGCTGTGTCATTGAAACTGCTCTTTCCAAGGTCACCACTAGCCTCCATGTCCTTAAAATGAATGAACACTTTTCAGTAATTATCTTATTTCATTTTTCAGCAGTATTTTATAGTGTGGACCACACCCTGCTCCTTGTGATTTTCCATACATTTTACTTCCCTGACTGGTCTTGTCCCTTCTGGTAGACTCTCCTTTACTTCTCCAAAGGCTCCTTTGTTCTCTAATTTTTTAAAAAAATATGGATCTTCCTCTGGGTTCTGGCTATTTGTGTTCAATTCATTCTCCCAGGGAGATGCTAGGATTGCAGTCTACATGCTGATGATA